CTTAGTTGTGGGGAGGCATAGACAAGAGGATTCCTGGGCTCTAATGGTTAGCTTGTTTAACTAATGGGTAAGATTTTTGGGTAGGTGAGAGAGATTAGTGGGGAATTGATAAAGAAGATACCCAATATTAGTTCTGGTTTTCCCATGCACTTTCACAATTAGGGGACTCGTCACAGTGTGCCATTTTCCTTCCTGATGGCAGGATATCAGATAGGTGCATGAGGTTGTGGGTGGGGGTAAGTCTGAGAAGTTTGATTCAATATCAGGTCATTTTGAAAGTGCACTGCCTAGTTCTCCTTCCAGGGGATCCATGCATCTCTCTCTTAGGGTCCTCCTTGTTACCTAGCTTCTCTGGGGTTGTGGGTTGTAGGGTGGTTATCCTTTGATTCATGTCTGGTATTCACTTATGAATGAGTACACACCATGTTTACAGTGAGGAAGTCCTTGCTCCTGCCTCAGTGTGATGTGACAGACTTCGTTGACCCTTCATAGGAAGCCTCTAAGGAGTTATTGTGGGGTGGGGTGGGTAGAAAATGGGGGGAGTGGGAGGAGGGGAGAAAGGGGGAACTGAGATGGGTATGAAAAAGATTGTTTTAAAAAATAAAAATAAAAGAAAAGCAAAAGCATTAAAAGCAACAGCACAACAATAAAACAAAACAAAAAAAAGAGTGCACTGTATTAATGGTTCATGGGTTGTCCAGAAAGGATAAACAGACAGGCCTGAGGCAGCTATGAGAGAGTTAGGGCACCATAATTGGTTAAAATTATTAGCAGAGATTTGAATGGGAAAGAACTTGTGCAGTGTGGTCCTACTGTAGTGAAGGATAGGCCTGAAAAATTGATGTTAGTAAATTATAGGATATAATTTGAAATTATTACTGTAGGATCGGTGTGGTAACCAGATAGTCAAAATGTTCTGAAACACTGCGTGGTTGTCTCTGATCTTTGGGGAAATGAGTTCGAGGATCTCCTCCAATATAAAGAAAAAAAATTTAAAAAAGAACATGTAGCCAGCACTATGTCTGCCTACATGCTGCCATTCTCCCCGCCATGATTATAATTTACTGAACCTCTGAAACTGGAAGTGAGACACCACAATTAAATGTTTTCTTTTATAAGAAAAAAGATATTTAAATGTATATGTCCTTCATATAAAATGGTTTGCTATTAGCATGTAATCTACGCACACATTCCTGTGATACCTCAACATGTGAACACTATGCCAAGTTGTCACATGTCATTAAGCAGTAACAAGGAAAACAATCTGTACATCTTCAAAATAGGTTCAAGATTTTATTCAAATGGCTATGATGTGACATTGGCTGAATGTGCACGATGAAAGTGGAAAATGCCGGCATGAGCAACTACTTTTAACTTCACAATAAACATTTTTATGTTTTATGTTCAAATCCTCCGTGGTAATCCAGTAAAATATGGTGGAAGTCACAATGTGCTTACCCTTGACTGGAGACGATGATTAAGCTAATTAATTAAGCTAAGGTCAATTGTGCATCATGCTCTCCCTTTCAATGTATTCATATTGCAAGACTGAAATGTTAACGGTTTGGAGACATCTACTAAAGGCAGCAATTGGAATAGTTGGAAGTGCAGGATCAAACAATTTCCACAATGCAAATATTTGAAAAACTTTTGGTTGCTTATTTGAGATTATAATAGAATTACATTGGTTTCCCCTTCCCTTTACTCCCTCCAGAACTTCTCATATTACCCCTCCCCTGCTCTCTTTTAAATTTGTAGTCTATTGTTGCATGCATATATGCATATGTTTATACTTATTGCTAAATACAACCTGCTCAGACTATATAATGTTCTTCATATGTATGTTTTCAGGGCTGACCATTTGGATTGGATAACCAATTGTTGTATTCTTCCCTGGGGAAAACTGTTTCTTCCGCGCTCTGTATTCCTTACTTTGCTGTACTTCTTTCTGTCTAGTTGAGGACTCTGAGAATGTCTTTCCTAGTAATGTCAGAAGCTACACCCATAATGCCTCCCTAATGTGATGTATTAAGCATGAGTTGAAGAAGGACAATAACAGACATACAAAAGTGGATGGGGAAAACTCATGAGGCCTCATTTTTTTTAAAATTCTTGAGAATGTTGTTTCTTTTACTTGGAGCCAATTTATATTATGAACTTTTTAATTAGCACTATTCTGGAAGATCAATTTTGTTCAAATAAAACACTCTGTGAAAGTTAAAAGGAAATGTAACTTTTTTTCATTATGTGATAGGGACAAAAGCCAAGATGGATGTCCAGACATGGTATTTGAAAACGTCCAAACTGGCGCTGGCATTGGCAATCATCCACTCCAAACCAGCAGACAGAAGCAGCCGAGAATACGCAGAACAGCTGGCCATCCTGGTGACCCAGCGGGACTCCAAAGGGAAATCGAAAGTTGAAGCTTTAGAAGCCGAAGTTCTACAATTACGTCAACAACTTTTCCTGAGTCGGATTTCCTCAGGATTGTTTAAGAATGGTATGTAAAATCACTTTTCAGTAGTTTATAAACCTATTGTTACCGTAATTGGCTAGATATTTATTATAAAAACCTGAGAATGCTTATTTCTCCTTTCAGCCTCATATAATTTTTGTTATTTTGTCTTTGTTTGTTTGTTTTGTTTTTAGTTTAATCATCACAAGCTAGTGTCACCTTCTAATGAATAGAGCCACATTAGACTAGTCGACCAGCTGAGAAAATGCTTGTTTGTTACTGTTATTGTGGTAATGAGTATTGAACCCAGGGCATTGCGTATCTTAGTTCAAGTGTTCTACCACTCAGTGACAAAAGTTTGAGGTTGACTGAAGAAATTCATTTTAAAATCTCATTCTTAAATTCTGTTATATTTTTCTTTTATATAATAGCTGTCATTTATAAAGTATCAACCCTGGTGAATAATTTATGCCTCAAAATGTACACGATGAGGTTTTATTTTCTCTCATGATCACCTACCATTTTAGGGGGGAAAATAACCTAAAATTAACCCAGTTGTGATGTATTACAATAGAGAGAATGACAAAATGCCAAAAAAGCATTCATCCTGGTTCATTTCTTTGAAGGTTTCGGAGGTCTGGTCCTCCAAGTATGTATATATACTTGTCAATGAAATTGTTGCAGGGAATCTAGCAATTGGCAGAAGTATAAGAGAGGGAGAATTAGAGAATGCATATCCCTCCAGAAGCCCACTGCATTTGGGAGTAATCAAAACCCTTGTAAGCAAGTCGGACATGACAAGAAGAAAGGAGAATTGACTTAGAAAGTTCAGAAAGGCTCTACATAGCAATTAAGGAATGTGTATTGTATTCTTTATCATTAAGTTCAACATGTAAATGTCTCCACTAAGACTCTTGTGAACGTTAGAGGGGAATCTATTACTCTAGACAGTACAAGGAAACCAGGATTCTCTTGAACAAACTGGAACATGCGTCACCTGATTCACTTCATTCAGGGACTTTGTGAAGCACAAGAATGATGTGCAAACAATTTGGTAATGGGAAAAAATATGTAAGTCAGATCTCGTTATAAATTAGATCTTGTTACTTCGTTGTGTAAAGCTCTTCCCTGACATCTACATTTGTTCCGTGTTAAATGAAAACTTTTCATAGTGTCCCATAGTTGATGTCACTTCTTCTCATCTTTTCCTCTCCATATTATTCACTCCCCCCCATTATTAACTACTTGTATCATTGAAGGTTCTTTTTTTGGGGGGTGACTCTGCTATCTTCTCTGATATTCTGTCTGTGTTTTTCCTTCAGTATTTCCTAATGATATCTTTAAGGCTGATCATGCTGGTTGAATTTCATCTCTCATGAGTCATTCTGTGGAAAGTTTGCTTGGTTGTCACCTTTTCTCCTGATCTAGCATCTAAGTTCATTGAGCGGGAGGCATCTTGGATTTTTCCAGCCTAAATCATAATACTATACAGGTGTTCAATAGGTATTTGGTTAGTGGATGTGGAACATTGTAGTCCCTGGAGATAGGAAGGCTAATTTTATAAGCTTTCGCCAAAGCCCATGATTCGAATTCATGTTAAAATGTAATCCTTAGTTTGAACTATTGAGAGGTGTGGCCCATTGGTACCTCTAGAAGGAGACTTGAGTAGTATGTTAATGAATTATTATCAGACTGGGTCTGTTATTAATGACTAGTTGGACTTTGTCTTCCGAATTCTCTTGCCTACTGATTCTCTACTCTGTAATATGCAGGGAGTTCCCAGCCTCAAGAAAAGTTGTTACCAAATGTGACGCCTTAGCCAAGATCTCTTAAAGTATTAGCTGAATAAACCTATATTCTTTATGTATTATAAGTCTATGGTTTTTAGTTAAATAATAGAAAAACAGATGAAAACATCTTGTTGAAGATAATCAAACCTTAAAGGGCAGATGGTTTCAAAAATGGATACTTGTGGTGTTTATTGGGAATGAGTTCAGAGACTGCCTAAGTGTGATTTTAAGAATATTGAAATTTCCATCCCAGTTTATCATATGGATTGCGGTACTTTCTGTGTGAACAGAAATTTGTAGGATAAATATTGAGTGTACGCTTGTGTGAGTAGAAGCTACACTTGGTAAATGTAGGCGTTACCTAGATAGATGATCAGAAAACTCGGAGCAGGCAAGCAGGTAGGAACCATAATCATATATTTAGAATTTTTATATAATTTAAGTAATTGTAATAATTTTTAAGAGTTACAGGGATAACTGACCTGTGAGGGTAGGCAAGGGATGTTTGGTTCTAACATTTCAAAGGTTTGCAAGGCAAGGAGGCTTTTTCATATTTGTGCGTGCCAGCGTGTTGAGCACATGCATGCAGTGGGCAATGGGGACACACTAACTTGGAGGAATTGTGTAGATAACATGATGATTTAGTATGTGGAAAACATGATGACTTAGTATCTAGATATTAAAATCTCACTGTATAAAACAAAAATAGCAATATCATATTAATAGCCAGCCATATTTTTTCTCCATCTAATTCTTTATGACAGTGAACTGTTTGTGTATGCCCAGTGGGAAAAAACATAACAAACATAATCAATTGTTCTCTTTCTTCCTTGAAGTTATAGAATTCATATAATGGCAAAATGTAAAAAAAATGCAAAAATATTGAATTACGCCAATCATAAGCTTCTATGCTATCAACAATATTCCTTGTCATCCAAAATCCATTTGTAGCAGTGACCTAGGGTGCATGTTGTTTGTGAGTAAGGGTCTGGGTGATACCTTGTTTTATATTTTTCACTTAGAGTGCCTGTGAGAGAAATTTTTCAAAAATCATATATTTAAAATAAGTTTTCCTTGCAGCAGAAGTGGTATGTACTGTGTTTTGGGGCAGATGTTTGGAAGTGGTGTGTTCTTCCATCTGTTATCTCCAACTTAAAAACTAGGAATAACTGAGTATGTACTGAAATTAAGTCACTGTTATAGGGGAGATGAAAATAAAGCAAATGGTGTCATTAGAGTGACAGGGAAGCAAAAGAACTTAGTCGTTGTTTAAAGATAGAGAATTTGAAAGAACGTCATGACTTGCTCTGCAAGAGCTACTCCTAGCAATCAAAACATAGTAGAGACACATTTACATTAAATGTTTCTTTCTGGAGTTTTCAGTTTTTCCTTATCATTGTAACTATTCTTAAGCATTTAGAGGCTATCAATAGATGCTGAGTGAAACACTTTTTGAAAGATTGGGAGGCTGTGGGATGTAATTTACAGAAACAACTGTCTGTTGAACCAGTGGAACAGTCTAGAAGTAAATAAAGCAGAACTGGAATGGTTTACACAGAGTCTTAGGAGCTCAGATATTTCTCTATTCTGATTTATTGTCTTAACCTTCTTACTATGGATTTTATTCCTTAAGGAGCTATCCTAAAGAAGGGATGAATATAATCTGATTTTAGAATTATGCCATGTTTTTGTTTCAATGAATTGTTCAGTAAAGAAGGAAGTGAAGAAAGGAACAAGTGAGGGAGGGGGACAGAAGAGGAGAAATCCTGAATACCTTGTGGCATCTGTCTCAGCCTTCTTGGCGAGTTATACCAGACACAACTCTCTACTCAGTAAGCACCTCCTTTCTTCTTTAGAGTTCTTCATTTTATTTGGAAGACATTCTTATTTCCAGTGGGTTGGCCCATCACAGGCTCAAGCCTGCTTTTGAGAGTTTTGATAGACGTTTTGTGGGGTACAGTTTTGGACAATGTATGTCAGAAAGCACTTGGGAGGATCCATGTCTTTGGATGAAGAGCTAGAGGCCCATGAGAGATAGGAAATCCTTTTTACGCAATCTCTTGTTTCTTGTGTGCACTCTGCCAAGCCAAAAGATGGTTTTAGGACTGTGGTAGTCCTTAGCTAACATGGGCAGGATGAAAACCTGTGAGGCTGAGATGAGCCCGCATCCTGATGACATGGCTCTGTGGATGGAGCAGTTCTTGTTAGTGAACTTTTAAGAGGTAGAGGATGCTAAAAATCATTGTTCACAAGTCTTTTGTTCTTCATTTCTGAGGAGCCTCCTGAGTTTGGGTTCCTTCACATTCTGTACTGTGGCACGGGGAAGTTTTTCACTTCCATACTGTCTTCCTTTTGTTTTCTTTCTAAGCATATACACTCATTGTTTATTTCCTCCCTCTCCTTTTTGTCTGCCTATATACTCTTCATTTTTTTCTGATACAGTTTCAGTATTCTACTTCTTCTGATGGTCTCTCTAGACTAAATTATATTTTCATGCTATGAGTCTCATAGTTCGTATTTTCAGAGTATATGTAAGGTAAATTTTAAATGTTTAATTCTGTCTTCCTTGTGGAATCTGAACCATGCTTGCAGGAACTGTGTTGATATTCATCATCAGATAATCCGGTTTTTAGCACAGCACCTGCCTTTTCAGGGCTGATGAATGAGTATTCATAGAAAAAATTGTAGAATAAATGTATGTTTACATGTTGATATTTGTAAAATCCTATCCTGTTCATTGTCTGGGTTTTGTTTTTTTCTTAAGATATTCCTAGCCTTTGTAGCAATACATAAAGGCACGGAGAGTAAGTCTACCATCTTGCTAAAGATCCTGTGGGTAGAATGAGTCTCTGGACTCCTACCTCCATGGGAGTTTAATCAGATCAGAATAAATGAACAATGACAATACCAACTTCTCTTCTTTGATAGATACAGAAACTAAAATTGTTTAGAATATTTTCATTCTCTTAGATGTTTGCTCAATGTGATTTTTTGTTAGTTCAATCAATAACAAATATTTCTCATTATTATTATTACCATTATTAATTTGGTTCTAGAAATTGAACTCATGGTCTCATGTATGTTAAGGGTATGTACTATTTCTTAGCTATACCCCTAAACCTAAAACAAATTTTATTTCTTTCTTATATTTACCGTTAGTTTTAGCTTTTGACATATTGTATATGTGCTTTGTAAATGCCCTGTGTTTCTCTGTTTATAAAATTAAGGCTATATTAGAAATTTAAATATGCAATG